GTCCATTGCAATGGCCTCGCAGTCAGGGAGTGGCACCATGTGTAATGGGAGACGCTGAGACCACGCCGATGCGAAGAGGTCCACCTCCGGGCACCTGAACATCCAGCAAGGCCAAAGGAAGGAGGCATTGTCGAGGGTTCACTCCAGGGAAAGAGGAAGGAAGCATGACAGGCCGTCTGCCAGTATGTTGGACACATTCCATGAATGGGTAGAGTGCAGAGAGTCAAACCTTGAGAACTCAGCAGAAAAACCACTCGAAAAGACCAGCCCCAAAGACCCATGGACCTCAGTGACAATGAACCATGGACACCCCTCCTCCCCTTCCCTGATTGAGACAATGAACCACATTGTCTGAATGGAGCTAGATCACCAGACTGCACCATTCAGTGCAATCCGAATGGAGCCAAATCACAGAGCCCTGAGAGATCCGAATCCTCCCCAGCGCTTGCCACACAGCCTCAAATTACTGCACCGTGATATGAGCCCGACAGAAGGACAGAGCCCAACGCCCCTAGCCGGCCCGGTGAGCACTGGTCACAAAACCCCAAGCCGAGGGATGAGACGTCGTGAACACATCGAGCGGCGCCATGGCACGAATCCCGAAAAATCCGAAGAGGATGCCGGATATGCAGCAACTGATGCAAGGCCCCCATGGTATTGAACCCAGCAATCGGGAAAATGGTGAAAGGGAGGTCTGCCCCGAAGGTACCAGAACAGCCTCGAAAGCCAAACCCTTCCTAGCGGGAAAACCAGCACAGAAAATTTTCAGGCTCCTGTACAGCTGCTCGAGCAGCCACCGAGTGACATGGGGTCCCCCTCAAAAATGGTAGAAAGTGGGACTTTAGCCAGAGCAAAGCCGCTGGGGAAAGAGAGACGGATGCTGTGCGAGAATCTAACACTAGGCCCAGCCAAATTCGAACCTGGGATGGAACCAAATGGAACTTCCTCCAATTCACCAGGAACCTGAACCTGGCGAGCTGGAAAAGAACCAAATCCCTTGGTGAGCAGACATGCAGATCGGCTGGGAGTTCACACCAACCAGTCGTCAAGGTGGGCCAAAACCCGAAGACCTAACAGATGAAGACGGGTCACAAGGACCTTGGTTAAGTGCGTAGAAAAGCAAAGTGTCAGTTTCAGATCAAAGGGAAAGTAATATAAGTGGTAAGCCTGTCGCCCTACCGCGAAACCTAACCAATCCTTGAACCACGGATGAATGAGAACGTGTCAATAAGCGTCCTTGAGGTTCAGAGAAATCATCCAAGCACCCGGCTCGAGAAGGAGCTGGACCTGGGACAACGTAGGGGCAAGGAATCAAGCCGTTCAGACGGGACTAAGTCCAGAATGAATCGAAGATCCGCACAGTCCTGTTTCTGAAGTAGAAATAAGTGAGAAACCCACTTGAGGGACTAAATCATTTCTACCACGTCCAAGTGAACCCATTCCAAGAAGACCCCACAGAGAGATGGGGAAGAAGCCTGCCCCACAAGCCCAAAGCCCTTGAGAGGAGGAGGAGCTGCCCAATGGGACCAAGCGTGGGTAAACAGAGCCTTACTCACCCCCATTGCCCCATCAATGAGGCGACTCACGATTTTGCCGAAGTGACCTACAAGAAGCTGACTTCGGCACAGAGCGACCACTGCGCCGACCAAATGAAGAAAGCCCCGGAGGACACACAAGCTCAGAAACTGGCACCAATGACCCACCTTGACCTACTGAAGTTATCTTGAGGTTATCTTGAGATGATTTTGGGGCTTAGCATTCTCCACTAAACATGAAACCTGAGCCCTGGCACGACTATCCCGAGAAGATTGAGAATGACCCCCCCCCTCCCCACCAAGAGCACCGACAAATCCAAAATGGGGCGGCAACTGGTGGACGCCGCTGACAAAAACTGAGCAACACTCTCCTCCAGAAATAACAAAGGGCAGAACAGAGATGAAGACTGGAGAGCCAGGGCCCAAGTGGAATCAAGTGAGATTGCCGGAATGGCCTGGCAACATGTGAGCCGAGAGGTAAAAAACATAGATATCGCTTCCCGGAGGATCAGCGCATACAGCTTCTGCAAGGCATTCGATGCCTCGGCAGCTGAAACCAGAACCAAAGCCGAAGGCCCAGCACTCAAAACCCACACATCCTCCAAAAGCCAATCCAAGGACAGCCTGATGGTCATCAGCCGTCATGGCAGCCGAAAGAGAGGGGACTGCTGAGTAATCAAATTCATACATTGAAGAAACCATCCCCCCTTGGACTGTTAGAAGGAACCAGTATCCAAGAAAGGTTGAAGGGCACCCACTGATCTTCCCCAGAAGCCAGCCATGATGGTCCCATGGCAGAAACTTCTTCATTGTCCAATGCCTAGGACAGAAAGGCATCGATCTAAGGAGAAGGATCAGAGCCAGAAGGCGGTTGTAAAGATGAAGGCTCCGCATCCCGGGCAAGAAGAGACTGCTCACCCCCAAATAAGGCAAGCTACACCCTGAGCTAAACTCTGCTCCGATTCCAAAACCCTCCGAATTTTTTTCCAGAACCAGGTTGGGAAAACCAGAATCAGGAGGAACCACCCCAGCCGGGGAAGGTAGAGGTGTGAACTTAGCCCAGGTGGGGTTCACCAACACCACTAAATCTGTGTCCCTAAACAACACAGAGGCCAACTCTGTGATATCCAATTGAATACCATGCCCCAAACTCTGAATATGGAGAAACCAAAAATGTAAAGTGCAGCTGCTCGGTAAGCTTTCCGATGAGAAATGGGCAGAGAGAGAATGGAGACTCGGTGTACACAGATGTTGCAGGGCTCTGGGTCAAAGGTGTCACCGATCCATCAAGCAGCATAGTAAAGGCAGAGAATGATTGTCAGCCAGTAGTAGGACCAAAGAGCAGTTTCAAACACTCACATAGCGAATACAGAATTGACGGGTCAGTCCATCATGAGCCATACCATAGACCCACAGGGAAATTACCAAGGGCTTGAAGGTAGCTAGCTAAGCAGGATAACCAGGTACTAGGAATGCTTGCAAAAGAACAGACATTGAATGTAGCCTATAATAACATGGCTACGAAGGGTGTCCACAGTGTGTCATTTAAACAAGCGTGTGTGTTCCCTAGTGCAGCTCACTCACAATCAGTTCAGAAACCTCCAAATAAGGGCCCACACACAGAGGAGTCATCAACATTTATATTGCCCAGGTGATGGCTCTTCAACCTAGTGAACAGGGGCCAGATTCATGAAGCAGTTATGCAAGCACTTATGAACCTGTACATCTTTTCTCAATCTTTGGCAACTTTGTTTACAATTATTAAACAGTTAATGAGCTCCGAAGCACCAGGAAGCTGTTTATAACAACAACAACAGTTGATTGGGAAGTTTTCATGCTTGTAAACTGTTTAATAAATGCAACCAAAGCCGTCAAAGATTGAGGAAAGATTTACACGTTCGTAAGTACTTGCGTAACTGTTTCGTGAATCTGGCCCCCAGGCCTCACAGGGGCCAACACTCAAACATATAAAAAAAGTAACTCTGGTAAACAGGCACCAAGGAAAGGAAACCCCTGAGCATATGCATTTCAAAGTGCAAAACAAGCAAAGTCCACACAACAAAATTGTGAAGAAAACATGTACTCAAGCAAATACTAAAATATAGGCACATAACCCAAGCGAATGACCCCTGCAAGACAAAGACTGCAGGACAGCTGGCACTTTTATATATTTATTTTATTTATTTATTTATATACAAGAAGGTACATCCCCCTGGTACATATACAAGAAGGTACATTGGGTTTATAAGAGACATAGCAATGATGTTTTTACATCCTTGTAAAGCCACTAGCACACATTGCATTTCCGGCAGAGCTGAAAAGTAGATTTTGGGAGCACACTACAAGAATTAACCACATTAGCAATATGACTAAAGTTTGAGCCAAGGAATATGGACTGCCTAGAGGCAGCCATCAGTATTAGTGGGTTTGAGCTAGTTTTGAGTGAACCATTTGTCTGAAATCAATAATTTGCTGAGGTTTGGTTGTTTCCATGCTTCATCTTCTATGATCATTACAGTTGAATGAAAAGCTTTGCTGATTTTTTAATGTTTCCCAGTGAGGGTGATGTTAATAATCCTCTGCTCTCTGCCCCTCTGTGAAAGGGGGTCAGGATTCAACCCATCCTCCGAATTGACAGTACGATTTAATACTAAGTGTAATAAGTACACTTTCTTACTGTAATAAGCAGTGCATAATTGCACTTACGGGGCTGTTACATTGACCCAACTCCCTCCCCCGCTTTAATTTTTCTCGTTTTCTGTTAAGTCACTCAGAATTTTAGGATGACGTTTTCAATTTCGATTTGCAATACACAAGTTTTAAATATCAGGAATTTCTTTTTCAGGTTTATTAAACAACATAGATTTTATGCAAAATTTTAAAATATCCTGAGTTAATTTACAATTTATTGATATATTTTAGTTTTGTTTTATTAGTTTTATAAAACTGTAATATCAATATAGCTATAAGTTAAGTACTAATTGTAATTAGGAAGCAATAAAATTATTATCTTCAAAAACTAAGACGGTTAGGTGAGGTTGTGGTTTTCTATTCAGTTTTTCAGGTAAACTCAAATATTCACAATATATTTGACAGTACGATTTAATACTAAGTGAAAATAAGTACAATTCCTAACTGCTATGAATAGTACATAATTGCACTTAATTGTCTTCTTACATTTACCACCCCATTTTTGGAGGACGGGCTGCAGGATTGAACTCTGGTCCCGTGTAGGCCAAACATAACTCTTGCAAGTGATGCCACCCAGTAGAGGCGAGCAATCTCAGTGAGCCACCGAACGGCTAATCTCAGGAAATGCACTTTTCACTTACCTTTCCTTTCCTTTCCTTTCCTTTCCTTCGTATTGTTCTGTAGTTTAAACTGTAACTTAATGGGGAAGAGCAAATGCAACGAGCTTCACAAACTGGTACAGTAACTATTTAATCTTAATTTTTTTGCCTTTAGGGAGCAACAACGGGTTTTGCCTATGACAATGTGATGCTGAAACACCAATGTATTTGTGGTGATAACTCCCACCATCCTGAACATGGCGGTCGCCTGCAGTCAATAATGGCCAGATTGCAAGAGACGGGACTAATTCATCGGTGCCACAGACTACGGACAAGAAAAGCTACCTTAGAAGAAATTCAATCTTGTCACAGCGAGGCACACACACTATTGTTTGGTAAGTTGTATAGTATATCTGATTGTTATTGATTTAGACATCTATTATGTGTCCCAGGTTTCCTAGATAAAGATAAGATACCAGCATCTGGGATACCTGGGTATCCCAGATAAAGATAAGATACAGTACCTTATATAAGAGTTTCCAAAATACAATATGTATATTTTTAAATTTTCATTATAATATGTGGAAAATGCCTTCATATATGAACTTAAAACTTTGATAAGGTATGTATGATAGTGCAAGGCAGGTCTCTAATGTTATTGGGGCATATTTTAAAACCATTTTTAATACATTGTTAGGGGGTGAAGGGGAAGAAAGCCTTCAACAATATTTAAAACTATAAGTTTTAAATATATAAACTACATAATAAACTACAGTATATAGTTTAAGTATAAACTATAAGCTGTACCAAACGTTTTACTCACATGCAAGTAAGACTAGAAAGTATTGCACAAGAGCCAATTTTCTGGAAGGAGCCCCCGTCGGCTCTCCAGAGCTATCCGGGCTGAGATGAATGTACATTATTAGACCCTGGCATCGCTCAAAGCGAATGGAGTTCTGCCTACCAGGGACCACGAGCCAGAACCTGGCCCCCTCAGATGAGGCGCGAGGAGCAATGGCCTATAGAACACCCCCCACCCCCGTGTGGTTGAAGCATTCTATGTTTGCTATTGACCGGGTCAGGCACCCAGAAAGGTAGGCGCCCCATAACAAACCGTATCTGCTTAAAAATTGGTACCGAAAACCGAACTGCTGGACAGAACTCCCCAAACTAAAATGAGCAAACTAGCATGACGTCACACCCGTCATCGCACGGCTGTCTGCGCAGCTTCCCCCGCGCCTGTTATCAACCACCTAGCTCTGAGGCTGATTTGATACTGGGCAGTCGTGCGACTCTGGTCCCTGACGTTGTCCAATGCTGTGCCTTGGGGTGTGGTCCTATTTTCTGATGGTGTGTGGCCCAGGATTAATTTCACAAGTACTCGGGCTGCATGCACCTAGGGTTACCTTCCCCAGATACTGTAAGTACTGCCCTTGTGGCTTGGGGTTACCTTCCACAAGTCGCTTGGGATCTACCTCCACTGTGGTCTTTTGCTGCTCAGTAATTGCTCGCCCTTGGAGTCAGCTTGGGTGTTTCTTGCACCACTGTTTGCCTCTGGATAGGAGGTAGTTTTGCCACTGGTAGAGGTGCAAGGTACTGTACAGCTAGTTTTCACCATAATATAGCAGCCGGCTCTGTTCTGCCTGGGGATGTCATACTCTAGCTGGGTTTTCCTTTTTATTTTTGTTTTGCTGCCTGGTGGGGGGAGGGGGTCTAACCTCTTGGTGTTGTTGACCCCTTATATAAATATATATTTTCTTGGTGGTCCTCTGCTAGGTCCTCATGAGCGTACATGTCACAGGGGTTCAGCATTGAGTAGTTCACTTGGTAGTTTGGGGCGCCGGTTAGCAGTACCTTGCCTGGGCTTCCCTTAGCAAAGCATCTTAGGACCCCCGGAAAACCCCATTAGGGCTCATTGGTCCAATGGATATGTCCTCTGGGTCCCTTCTTGCCTTGTGTGAGTTCAAAGGTTACTCTGTCCCCTTGTCTCAGGGTGACACTCACCCTTTTTACCTCCGTCATGCTGCCTGTTGGATCGATGACATCTTTGACCCGAAGTCCTGCGAGTGGTGTTCCTTGCTGGTGCTCCAATTCTCCCAGTCTGATAATATTGGTGATAGGGTGCAGGCAGCTTCAGCGTTGCATGCAAGGTTTAGGTTGCTGCAACGTGCTAGGTTGCTGGGAGCTAGGTTACTGGGAGCTGGTTGGCCGAGCGGACAGCACACTGGACTTGTGATCCTGTGGTCCCGGGTTCGATCCCGGGTGCCGGCGAGAAACAATGGGCAGAGTTTCTTTCACCTTATGCACCTGTTACCTAGCAGTAAAATAGGTACCTGGGTGTTAGTCAGCTGTCACGGGCTGCTTCCTGGGGGTGGAGGCCTGGTCGAGGACCGGGCCGCGGGGACACTAAAGCCCCGAAATCATCTCAAGATAGGTTGATTGCCTTTTCCGATGCCGCGAGGCTGCCTCGTTTTGGTTATAAGGACCCAGACTTGGGGCCATTAGGTTATAGGGTTAAAGGGACCCGGACATTAGGCCCAACTCCGGAACATCTGAGGGTTTCGGAGTTGGGGCAGAGTTTAGCTGGTGGTGAGACTTGGGCAGTTTCAGGGGCTGCCCCATCCGGTTTGACGACGAAGGCATTTGAGCCTGCTCCTCCAGCCGTGGCATCGGGGTCTGAACAGGGGACTTCCCTTTTCCCAGCTTTTCCAGTGAACTCTGCTTTTTCTTTAGAGGCAAAGGGTTTGGAGGACAGCTCTGCCCCAGGTCCTAGCATTGAGGATCCTGGGGCTGGGAAGGAGTTGACTTGGGGGGCTTGGGCCCCATTTGACCCCGCATGGGTGTTGGTACCCTCGGTGCAGGGCTTGTTGTTACAGAGGTAGGGGTTTTCTTACCCCCCCACCTCCCTGTATGAATTTGATATGAGTTCTGTTCCTCCCCAGGTTTGATTCCGGGTTCCCTTGGGTTCTTCGGTCCCTTCCTTCCGGACTTCCAGAAGTTTTCAGCTCCCTGCATCCCACTTAAGTAGCTTTGGGAGGCCATTGCGGCTTGCCTACTGTGTGACCCAGATTTTGCCTCGATAATAGACCCTCGTTTGAGTTTAGTTCTACTTTTCCTTATTGGGTACATTATAAGGTGCCGAAGTCATCCTGGTTGGTAGACTGTCCTTTCTTCTTTTTGGGGGCATGGTATTCGTTCTATCAGACCCGCACGGTTGAATGGCGGGAAACTTCTACTGTTGTTCAGGTTTACCTGGGGGGCGAGTTGGAGCGCCTCAATGCGTGCTTATTCGCCCCTTTTCTTCCAAATGATATTGGCCAGGTGCAGCTTCACGTGCAGGTTCCTGTCCTTTCAGTACCCCTGGTTGCTGAGGATTGCGTGCCTGGGGGCATTTGGCTTTGGTTCTGCGTTTCTTTTCCCTGCTGTCTTCGGACTGGCTTGAGGAGGATGTGGAGGTGCTGGGTACTGGGCCTGTGTCCCAGTACCCAGGTGTTTGTGCCAATTCTGAAGGAGACTGTGTCTCTGTTCTTTGCTTCTTGCCTCATGTGCCATCAGGCTGTGCTCGCTCATTCCTTGGAATCCGTGTGGGCCCCTGGCTCTTGAATTTTCATCGCCCTTTTGTCCGTTGCTATTTGCAGGAACTTTGGTGCAGTATCTGCAGGCAGCTTCGTCTAGCTGTCGCCCTATGTCCATCTTGTTGGTTCTCTGGAGTGGCCGTGGGGATCTTTCCTGGAGGGTCGTGCCAGGATTCGGGGTTCCTTTGGTCGTGGTAGGCCAGTGGTGCCAGTTTCAGACCCGACATCTCCTTTGGAGCCCCTGGCATCTGGTCTGCGCGTCGGTCAGGTTCTTGTAAGGGGTGTTGGCCCTTTTGTGGTTCGCCCAGTTGATGGGACAATGGGGGGAGGAGACTCACACTGTTTTGCTCATGCCTGGTCCCACGATTTGTGGGCGTTTCAGGTCGTTTCCTCCGGCCTGTGGTGACATTGGGTGGCTCCTCCTCCTTTCGGGGGAGGGGGGGGCCTGCCTCCATGAAGGGCAGGCCTCTTCTCCTGCACTCTGTCAGGTCATCTTGGAGTGGGTGTGCATTGGCGTGGTCAAAACGACAATGTCCCTCAGGTGGGTTCCCGCCTGTTTCCAGTCCAGAAACGGGACTGTGCGAATCTGAGGCTCATTCTGGACTCGTCCCATCTCAATCCCTGGGTTTCTTGCCCCTCCTTTTGGATGACCATTCTGTCCCAGATCCGGCTTCTGTTGGAGCGGGAAGCTTGGATGGTGTCCCTGGACCTCAAGGATGCGTATTGGGCCCAATTCATCCGGGGTTCAAGCTCAGTTTTGTTGTGGTGTGTCAGGGTTACCGCTTTCATTGTCTCCTATTCGGGCTCAACCTGGCTCCTTGCGTGTTTACGCGCCTTACTCGGGTCGTCGTGGCCCGTCTGCATCTCTTAGTGTGTTGGCCTACCTCAACGACTGGCTTGTCTGGGCTCCCAGTCGGTCCGCGTGTCTGCTCTTCAGGGATTTGGTTCTTTCCCAGCTCGTGGGGTTCCGGTTCTTGGTGAACTGGAGGAAGTCTCCTCTGGTTCCCTCCCAGGTTTGGACTTGGCTGGGTCTTGTGTGGGACTCAGACTGTTTCCTTGTCTCTCCCTCCGGAGTGTCTCCTTCGGCTGCGGTCTATCATGTGCCAGTTTCTGGGGGACTACCGCGTCACCTGCTGGTTGCTCGAGGGTTTGTGTGGGAGCCTGAACTTTGTGCTGATGGTCTACCCACCGGGTCAGGTTTGGCTTCGTCGGCTGTTTTGGCTCCTTTGGAGGCGTCCCTTCCACCTCTCTTGCGATCGCTCACCCTAGTCGGACATGTGTTGCTTTGGGTTGTAGATTGCAGCCAGTTGTCTTGATTTCGAGTTGAGGTGCGAGTGATTGCTGCCTCCTGGGTAAGTCCCTCTTTTTTTTTTCTGTGGTTATGGAACTCTGGGGAGCTGGAGGGGCTCTCCACAGAAAACCAACGTTGAATGTAATGAAACCACATTTTCTGGGTAAATCCCAGAGGCTCCCCAGCAACCCTCCATCCCTCCCTCCCCCCAGTCGGCGTTTTTTTACGTTTTTTATATGTATCCTCTGAACTAGGGTTGGATAGCCGGTGCAGGGTTCTGGGGCTCCTCCTTACCTCTACCTGGGAGAGGGGAGCTGTGCAGACAGCAGCGCAGTGGTAGTTGTGACGTCATGCTCGTTTGCTTGTTATCAGATTGTGGAGTTCTGCTTGATAGTTTGGCTTTCGGTAGCAATTTTAGCCAGGTGGAGTTTGTTTTGGATGCCTACCTTTCTGGGTGCCTAACCTGGTCGATGGCAGATATGGCATGCTTCCAACCACATGGGGATTTCCATAGGCCATTGCTCCTCGTGCCTCTCTGAGGGGGCCCAGGTTCTGGCTCATGGTTCCCTGTAGGCAAGAACACCAATCGAATTGATGGATGCCATGGTCTAATACATACACATCAACTCGGTAAGCTCCGGAGAGTCTCCGGAACTCACCCAGAAAATGACGTTTCATTACATTCAACGCTGGGTTTTTTATTATTTGTGTTGTTTTCAGGAACCAATCCATGGAACCGACAGAGATTAGACATGAGTAAATTTTCTGAATTACCAATCAAGAGCTTTGTTCGACTGCATTGTGGTGGTGTTGGCGTTGACTCCGACACAACCTGGAATGACATGCATACATCATCTGCTGCAAGAATGGCAGCTGGCTGTGTTATAGATTTATCTTATAAAGGTATAGTACTATATATCAGTATGGGAATGACAGCTCTTTGCATAGCTGTAATGTGCTGTTGAAAACAAATAAATGTAGTGTGTATATACAGTACCGTATAATATTTGTTTATACTGTATTCTCAAAATTCCCCTCCTGTACAAATTTATCTCTTACAGTTGCTACTGGAGAACTTCGTAACGGGTTTGCTTTAGTGCGGCCGCCAGGCCACCACGCGGAACACCAGCAGGCCATGGGCTTCTGCTTTTTTAACTCCATTGCAATCGCTGCACGACAACTACATCAAAAGCTTAACTTGGAAAAAATCCTCATTATTGACTGGGTAAACTAACACAGTGATAATTTTAAAATTTAAAATTTTAGTAGTAATCATGAGGTCAGTGCTTATAGGCATAAGTCATGTCAATTTTAGAGATAATAATTCCCTGCATAGCCCAAAGTTTTTATAATATAATATGTAGGTTTATTTTTATTGGTTAAATTGAAAAGTTATTAGTTATACAATAAAGTTATTAGTTATACAATAAAGTTATTAGTTATACAATAAACAAACAGAACAAGATGTGTTCAGACAAATGAGAAAATAAAAATTTATAATAAAATTAGGCCCTGGAGAACGAAGTTGAACTGTGATATCACATGAGGAGACAGCATGTAGCATTTGACCGCACAAGTTTGGATTAAGAATCCAATTATAGTAAAACCCTCCGACATCTGAAGTTCCAGAAAATAGAACATTTTCCTATAAGCAGTTAACCCAAATTCAATAAAACCAGCGCTGAATGTAATGAAACGCCATTTTCTGGGTGAGATTCGGAGGCTCCCCGGAGTTATACTGGGCTGATGTGCATATATTAGACTGTGGCAACAGTCAGTCGAAGGAGTTCTAAGCCTACTGCGGACCAGGGCCAGAACCTGGCCCCCCTCAAGAGAGGCACGAGGAGCAATGGCCTAAAGACACCCCCGTGTAATTGGAAATATTTTTTGTCTGCCATCTACCAGGTCAGGCACCCAGAAAGGTAGGAATTCCAAAACAAACTACTGTACTGCTAGTCAAAAATTGCAAACCGGAAGCCGAAGTAGCAGGCTTCCTCCCCAATCAAAAACAAGCAAACAAGCATGACATCACCACAACCGACGCGCATCCGTCTGTGCAACCACCCCCTTCCTCCCCAGGAGGGGGACGGGGAAGTCCCAGACCTCCTGGGACGACCGCCGGCTACTTATCTCAGTTGAGATGCTGAATATCAAAAACATGAAAAGAACCACCAACCGAAGAGAGGGAGGGATGCTTGGGAACCTCCGGGTCTCACCCAGAAAATGTCGTTTCATTACATTCATTGCTGGTTTTCTGTGGGAGAGCCCCTTCGGCTCCCTGGAGCTACCTAACCAAAGATAAAGAAGAAAAAGGACTTACCCGGGAAGTGGCCATCACTCACTACTCAACTCGAAGTCGAGACAACTGGCTGCAACCTGCGATCCAAGGCTACACACGCCCGAGAAGGGCCAGGAACATTAACGAGTTACTGTGCAGCCAGGACCCTGTTCGACCTCAAAAGCCCAGTTCCCGAATGTTAACCCAGGTTATATTACCAAAAACAGCAGCCAAAGCCACGAACTTACGAACGTCGTGGGCAATGGGATAGACCGCAGATTGGCTTCACCGCCGCAAACTCCCGCACCGTGCTTTGAGCCTGACGGAAGGATGGACCCCCATTGACCCTGGGTAGCCTGGTGGGCACTGGTCACAAAAACCCCAGCTGAAAAACAAGGCCACCGTGAACACATCGAGCAAGGGCTCGGGGATGCGCCAAGGCACAGAACCTCGAAAAACCCGCAGAGGAGGCTGGCGATGCAGCAGCCGATGCAAGGCTCACGGGATCTGAACCCAGCAGTCGCGAAAGTGGTGAAAGGAACATCCCTGAAGAAAGCAGAACAGCTACATAATCCAGAGCCGACCCGACCGGTAGACCAGCACGGCGAAGTTCAGACTCCCGCACAGACACTCAAACAACCGACGTGTAACCCAGGTGTCCTCCAAAAACAGTCATAGGCGGAACCGCAGCCGCAACAACGTCTCAGGATTGAGAGACAAGGAAGCAGTCCGAGAGTCCCACACAAGACCCAGCCAAGTCCAAACCTGAGAGGGAACCAAATGGGACTTTCTCCAGTTCACCAAGAACCGGAACCCCGCGAGCTGGGAAAGAACCAAATCCCTGAAGAGCAGACACGCGGACTGGCTGGGAGCCCAGACCAGCCAGTTGTCGAGGTAAGCCAGATCCTGAATCCCTAACAGATGCAAACGGGTCACCATGACCCGGGTAAGGCGTGGGAACATGAAAGGTGCCATATTCAAGCCGAATGGAAGGCAACAAAAGCGGTAAGCCTGTCGCCCCACGATAAAACTGAGCTAGTCCCTGAACCTCGAATTAATTGGAGTGTGGCAATACACGTCCTGGAGGCCCAGAGACACTATCCAAGCACTTGGCACAAAAGGCAGCCGGAACTGAGATAGAATGGTCATCCGAAAGTCGGGGCAAACGACCCAGGGGTTCAGACAGGACAAGTCCAGAATGAAACACAGATCCGCACACTCCCGATTCGGAACTGAAAACAGGCAGGAACCCACCTGAGGGACGTCGTCGATTTGACCATGCCCAGGTGAACCCACTCCAGGATGACCCAACAGAGTGCAGGGGATGAGGCCCGCCCTGCCAGCCCAGATCCCCTAAGGAGGAGGAACTACCCAACTCCACTAATCATGGGACCAGGTGAGAGCAACAGTACGAGCCTCCCCCCCCCCACCCCCCTGCATCAGGCCCCAAATCTGGCTCTACTGGTTTATGACGACCGAAGGAACCTTGAGCCCTAGCACAACTCTTCCAAGCAGGACCACCATGGCCCCCACGGAGTACCAACAAGTCCGACATAGGCCGGCAACTAGACGGAGACACCTGCAAAAAATACACCACCGCAGACTCCGCAAACAGTAATGGACAAAAAGGGGACCGTCTATGCCCTTAAACGAAAATCTAAGAGCCAGGGCCAAGCCAGAGGTAAGCTGCAAGGGCCTCCAGTACCTCCCTCTGTGGGATGCCGGAAGCTGAGAACCTCCGGAAGGAGGGAACCGAGGAACCCAAGGAAACTCGGAACCGAACCCAGGGAGGAGTCGCACTCATAACAAATTTGTACAGGGAGGGGGGGATAAGAAAAACCCTCCCTCTGTATCAACAAGCCCCGTGCCGAGGGTACCAACACCCAAATGGGGTCAAACGGGGCCCCAGCCACCCCAAGTCGACTCCTCCCCAACCCCGGGATCCTCAACATCAGGACCTGGGGCTGAGTCGTTCTACAAACCTTCTGCCTCTGGAGAAAAAGCAGAGTCCACCAGAAAAGCAGGGATGAAGGGGGCCCACTGGTGCAACCCAAAAGCTCTGGCAGGTGGAACAGGCTCGAATGTATCCGCCGCTGTTCCGGAAGGAGGCACTTCCCGAAGTCGCCCGAGTCTCACCACCAAGCAACAAAGCGGGGCAGCTGCGGGACATCCAGAAAGGCAATTAACCTCGCACGTTGATGCAATCTAAACCTCACATGCAACGCTAAAGCTGCCTGCACCCGAACATCAGACTCAGTTGACTGGGTGAATGGAGTACACGCAAAAAACACCACTCACAGGACTCCGGGTCATAGGTGTCACTGACCCCAACAGGCAGCATGGCAGAGGCAGGTGGTAAGTGTCGCAGTGAGTATCACCTTGAGACAAGGGGACAGACCTCAAACTCACACAAGGCGAGGTGGAACTCAAGAAGTCTCCTCCATCGGACCACTGAGCCCCAATGCGGGGTTCCCAGGGCCCTTAGGCTGACTGCTAAGGGAAGCCCAGGCAAGGTACTGCTAACCGGTTATCCCAAAGCTACCAAGCAAGCAAAACTAAACGCTGAACCCCTGCAATGTGTGCAAGCACAGGGACCTAGTGGAGGGCCACCAAAAACCTACTAGTGGTCCTACCGCCACACCTGGCAGACCCCCTCGCCAGGCAAAAAAAACAAAAACAAAAGAAAACCCCCGCAAAAGCATAACGTTTCCAGGTGAACAGAACCGGTCGCTATGCGTATATCAGACAGCTGCACAGTACCCCACGTCCCAGGAGGTTTGGGGGTCTGGGACCCCCCGTCCCCCTCCCGGGGGGGAGGGAGGGGGGTTGCGCAGACAGATGTGCGGCAGTTGTGGTGACATCATGTTTGTGTCCTTGTTTTTGATTGGGAAGTTCTGCTTGCTAGTTCGGCTCTTGGTTTGCAATTTTTGACCAGCAGTAGTTTGTTTTGGAATTCCTACCTTCCTGGGTGCCTGACCTGGTAGATGGCAGACAAAGACTGCTTCCAATTACATGGGGGTGTCTTTAGGCCATTGCTCCTTGTGCCTCTCTTGAGGGGGCCAGGTTCTGGCTCTGGCTCCCAGTTCCCAGTAGAACTCCTTCGATTGACTGTTGCCACAGTCTAATATATATATACATCAGCTCGGTATAGCTCCGGGGAGCCGAAGGAGCTCTCCACAGAAAGGACCTGAATTTCCAACAATCCATAAAAATTGCCGAGAAAGTTTGAGTAACTAGTTGGGATGATAATGATCCTGGATTACCAGTGCATAAGCCCTACAAAGCTTAAATACATTTCTCCATCTACAGTACTGTATATATATATATTCTATATACGGTACAATACCTTTCTTTTTTTCTGATAAGGTTTTTTAGCCCAAAAGTTACCCACTTTGGGTTATTATTTGATCTAATCAATTTATATGGACTACTGCATTCCTGGGCTTCAGTTATTTAAATGAGTTATAATTATCGTCTGTGTTATAATCCCATGTGATGTATGCAGATTGTATGCGAGGGTGGGCCTCGTAGCCTGGTGGATAGCGCGCAGGACTCGTAATTCTGTGGCGCGGGTTCGATTCCCGCACGAGGCAGAAACAAATGGGCAAAGTTTCTTTCACCCTGAATGCCCCTGTTACCTAGCAGTAAATAGGTACCTGGAAGTTAGTCAGCTGTCACGGGCTGCTTCCTGGGGGTGGAGGCCTGGTCGAGGACCGGGCCGCGGGGACACTAAAGCCTTGAAATCATCTCAAGATAACCTCAAGAAGATCCCTCCGCTGGAGTCACCACGTCCCAAGGATGACCCGCCTCCCACTTTAGATCCACCCACTCTACCGTCTCCAAGTAACTCCTCAATCTGCACTAACCCACCGCTCAATTAAGTGTTTAAAATAACTAAAAATAATGAACAAAGTAAGAGATAAAAGAAATTTTGAAAATGTTCCAGT